CAGGTGTATCTGAAAGACAAAAAAAACACGTTAAGGATAGAAAAAATAATTACAAATACGAAACAGGTTGAGCAGAGTAAGTAAAGACAGTAGTAGAGTGAAAGTTGTGGTCAGTTTGTCCTCCAGCAGTCTAAGCCTACAGCAGCATAACTAAGGGACGGCTCAGGAAACCCAAGCCGACCCTAACTATAGGATTTATCAAAAAGGAAAGTCTTAATCCCAGTTTTAAAACTGGACAATGTGTCAGCCTCACGGACAGAGATTGGAAGTTGGTTCCACAAGAGAGGAGCCTGAGAACTGAAAGATCTGCCTCCCATTCTGTTTTTGTAAACTCTAGGAACCACAAGTAAACCTGCAGTCTGAGAGCGAAGTGCTCTGTTAGGAAAATATGGAACAATAAGATCTGTAATATAAGATGGAGCTAGGTTGTTGAGAGCTTTGTAGGTTAGAAGTAAGATTTTGAATTCTATTCCGGATTTGACAGGGAGCCAATGGAGAGAAGCTAAAACTGGTGAGATATGATCTCTCCCACTAACTCCAGTTAAGACTCTGGCAGCAGCATTTTAGATCAACTGAAGACGTTTTAAAGAAGTATTTGGACACCCAGATAATAAACCATTGCAATAGTCCAGTCTAGACGTGACAAATGCATGGACCAGTTTTTCTGCATCATTTTTAGATCAGATGTTTCTAATTTTAGTGATATTACGCAGGTGGAAGAAGCAGTTCTAGTAACATTTTTAATGTGGGGGATAAAAGACGTGTCCTGATCAAAAATAACACTAAGATTTTTAACATTAGAGCTGGAGGACAGATTAATGCATCTAAGGAGGGAGAAAGACTGAAAAAATAATTCCTTAGGTGCTCAGGTCCAAAAATCAAAACCTCAGTTTTGTCTGTTCAACAGGAGAAAATTAAGGGTCATCCAGGTTTTTATGTCTTTAAGACATGCTTGTAGTCTAAGTAGCTGATTGGATTCATTGGGTTTAATGGACAAATATAATTGTGTGTCATCAGCATAACAATGAAAATTTATCCCATGCTGTTTAATAACTTTACCTAATGGAAGCATCTATAAAGTAAAGAGTATTGGCCCAAGCACTGTGCCCTGAGGAACTCCATGACTAACTTTGGTGTATGAAGATTTATTATTTACATTTACAAACTGGAATCTATCAGATAGACATTATTTAAACCATTTTATGTATGCCTTTTTGTGACTGCTTGTTGTTGTCACTGTTGTCATCATTCTTCGTTGAAATCAGGTCTTTTGTAAATGAGTCCTCGAGGCTCAGTGGGAGTTACCTGTCTAAATTAAGGTTGAATTAATTTTAGAGCTGTTCCTGTAATCCCAACATCATATTCAAGTCTCTAATAAAATATTATGATCAACTGTATCAAATGCAGCACCGAGGCCTAACAGGACCAGTATAGACACAAGTCCATTGTCTGAGGCCATGAGAATATCATTAGTGACTTTTACTAGTGCTGTTTCTGTGCTATGATGAGCTCTAAACCCTGACTGAAACTCTTCAAACAGATGTGCTCCTGTTTGCTTCATTGTTCCGTGATATCTCACTGGAACGGTTCACAGCTGGATTGAGGATCAGAACCTCCAGATCTGAGGCCCTGGTCCTCAGTCAGAGGGTGGACTGTCATCTCCAGGTTGGGGGTGAGGTCCTGACTCAAGTGGAGGAGGTCGAGTATCTGAGTTTCGTTCAGAAAGATGGATCGGTGCAGCTTTTGCAGTATTGTTTACTCTGTGCCGGTCCATTGTGGTGAACTGAGCTGCAAGGAGAAGCTCTCTGTGTATATTCCTACTGTCACTTCTGGTCCTGAATTCTCAGTAAACAGCGAGTAGAGAAGATCTACAGAAATCATAAATGTAGACGTCACAGTCAGTGCCGTATTCAACCTAAACTGTTTCAGTGAGCAGACTGCATGGTGGTGCAGTGGTTCACAGAAAACAGGTTCACAACCCGGCTGTGTTTGAATGTGCAGGATTTCTCCAGGGTCTCTGGTTCCACATATTATTTGGTTCACTGGTCTCTTTGGGATGGACTGTGGACCTGTCCAGGGTGTGTGTCCCCTCCCCCCTGACCATTGGAGACAAAACCCAAACTTGACTTTTTAACAAAGTTTGTAAATGTCAACCAGCAGCAGTCAGAACCTCGAGCCGCTGCCGCTTATTGTTTTCTGGCTCAGAAGATAAAAGTTTGTGAACCACACGGACGTCCCACAGGAAGTTCTCCTGTCCTCGGAGGACGGGCACTAACCAGTTGATACTGAAGGTACACATTTTGTGTAGCTGCTGAATGAATTCACACATGGCTCTACTATGACGTGCGTCGCAGTTCAAACCCCTCGGCGACGGCGCTTGTTTTGTGTGTTACCGGTGGTGGATCTTTGATTTTCTAAGAAAATCTGAACTTTAAAGCCTGATTTGTGTCTGATTGGGGATCATTTCACCCGCTCCCTCCCCCCGTCGAGCCAATCAGGTTGTAAAATGGTCGGGAGTTGGGGGGGTTGTGTTCACTGTATTTCCTCTGCAGGGTTTTATGGATATCTGACACGAGGAGAAACTGCGGAGAGGAGACATGTCGGTGGGGGACTTAATTCACCTTATCGTCAGCAGCAGATGTGGTGGGAGACTCCCTAATTCCAGGATTCAGAGATAGAGGTGCAGGCGAAGGCTTCAGAACCCCTCCAGGACCGCTCTGTCACTGTAGATAATATCGCACACACGGGCACTCAATGGTCACTCAGATTGCTGAAACCAAGCCTGAGCCCTTGAATGCCAATGGCTGCTGTACGTGTTGCTGCCAGAGATAAACGGCTCCGTCTGAGGGTTCTGATGAGCCGCCGAGAGGCAGAGCGAGCCGGTCCTGGCAGGAGGAACAGGTCCGCGGGTCAGAAGCTGTAATTTACAGGGAACAGTAACCACTCAGTGATTGAACCACGCAGATTCATCCTTGCTTTTCAGCTCCGGACTGAGCATTAGAATCTCTTTAGGTTAATCTTTCAGAATTACAGGGGGCCCCTCGTTACAAATCCCTCGGTGTGCCGAGGACCGGACTGAAAACAGGAAGACTCCATGTGACCCGGGTTAATGGGCACGGCGAGCTGCATCTCTGTTCTTAGCGGGAACAATATGGAGTCATTTGTCGTCAACTTTTACAGAATTCAGCTTCCCGAGAATCCAATTGGGTCCAAAAAGCGTTTCATTGTTTGTTAGTTATTTGGTTCTGAGGTTAATGGAGGACTGAACATGACAAAATCCAGAACAATTGGCTCAATAAATACAATAATGTCAGTAAATGTTTCTATTTAAATAACTTTTTCTTTAAAAAAACTGCTTTATTTTCTCTCATTTCCATAAACACAAAATTAAAAAATACACCCTCGTCCTTTTTAAATGTATAAATTTATATATTGATGCTGTCTTTTTTTTCAACATGTGCAGCATTTCATAGTAAGGTGTTCAGATGTTCACCTGCTGGTGAATTGAAAACAGGATGTGAAAGCGTGGCACTTCCTGTTGCATCAGAATGATAAACTGCTTGTTCATTCATTAACAGCTGATGTTTTGGTCTTTAATGAAAGATGTGAAGAAGAACGTAAAGTAAAACAAAAAACAGCTGCACGTGGAATGCTTTTATTTTTCTGACATGATGTTTATGTGGCTAGCTGCTAGTGCTAAAAGAACTAATGCTAATGAAACTAGAGCTAACAGAACTAATGGTAATATTAGAGCTAACAAATGTAATGCCAATAGTACTATCATATACAGTAGTCCTTCAATACTTCATGGTTCGACTTTTGTGGTGGACTCACTCTTTCGCAGGTTTTCAACGTAAGATTGTACACATTGTCTCCCGGTGGCCTGGCCCGCTCAGTGATTGCAGAGGGGCCCCCTCCTTTCTCTTTCTGAGGCTATCTGTCACAGCAGAGCATATGTCTCTGCTCTAATGTGACAGATAGCCTCAGAAAGAGAAAGGAGGGGCGAGGGTGGGGTCTGTCTTTCCCCATCGCTGCTGTGGAAGCTTCAGCGAGGCGGATACAAGAGTGAGCGGCATGGATTGTTTATTCAAAATAATCAAGCGCGACCCGAACCGAGCCGATACTCCCCATGGCCAGTCCACCTCAGGGCGCTGACTGGCTCAGTAACCGTAGCATCAGTCTGTCTGCTTTCTTTCGTTGTGCTCTTTTAGAGCGTTTAGAGAGTTTAGAACATTGCAAGAGTGTGGGAAGAGTTTATAAAGCCTTAAAAATATATAAATACTAAAATAAATATAACGTCCCTACTTTGCTGATTTTCATCTACTGCGAGGGTGTCTGGAACGTAACCCCTGCAATAAATGAGGGACTAGTATATATATATATATATATATATATATATATATATATATATATATAT